CTCAGCTAAAAACCTTAATTAATTGAAAGATATTAATTGGTCAAGCGGACCACGAAAACTAGTGAATTGAATAAGTTAAAATGAAGTATAACTTCACTAAAGCTCTCCATGGCCATTTCAATTGTCGCCGCAATACATTACACGACATTTGAAAAATGGCAAAAAGGAGGGAAAATTCAAAAGGTGGGGTTGAGATGGGAAGTTGGTGTCCGAGTGGATCGAGGTCCTCAAGTGGTAGAGCAGCGGCAGAAGATCGTGGGTTCGAATCTCGCTCGTGACACTGACTTTTTTATATCAACTAAAAACCTTAATTAAATGAAAGTTAATAAATAGGATAGGATTTTTTTAAATTTAATATATTTTTACAATCTGTAACATTATTTACAACATATATGGGAGGCCTTCTCCTCTTCAGTCGTCCGATGGGATTTTTTTTTTTTTTTACGAAAGGGATTTTGAGGTCGTTGTGAAGTATGTTGTTGAATATGTAGTAAAGAGCATTCTAAGGACTATGGATTGAAAGGACTGCATTTTTTTTGGATGTTGGAAGGTTTGGCGATGCTCCACAATTCTAGTACGTATGCCCACATCGGTTTTAGTACTGTTTTGTAAATTGTCAGTTTGTTTTGCGTTGAAACGTTAGATTTGCGTGACAGTAGACTGTAGAGAGGTCCGAAACTTCGGTTTAGTGCCTGTCGTTTTAGTCGGTTGGTTCGAGGTTAATTTTGGGTAATTCGAGTATTATTGAGGAATTATTGAGGGGTTTTTTATAAGATAGTTACACATATCAGGATACGAGGCATACCGAACTGACCCACTCTGATGGTAGGGCCCATGGAGTTGCAGCAGCCATAATCTATTCACCCTATCTCACCATGTTATTCCTAAAACTGCCACCGATTTCCTACAAAGCACAGCTATTTCGGTATCTTTTCAGTTAACGCCTATTGCCATCGACTCCGTATATTGTCCTCCTAATCACTCGTTCCACCCACCCAATTTGAAGAATTTGGATCTCTTGGGCCCCAGATTACTCACGGGTGGCGACTACAATGCGAAACACTTGCAGTGGGGCTCTAGATGACCGACTACCGTGGTCGCTCTCTGAACTGGATGTGGACCGCATGTCCTCATCCCTCGAGCTCAAAGAATACTGTGTACCTGTGCCGCAACGTTTGACCGGGTGTGGCAGAAGGCCTCCTGTACAAACTAAAGCGCATCCTACCAAATACCCTTTACCTAATCCTTCTATCCTACTTAACTGAACGATTCTTTAGAGTCCGCCCTCCAAACCTCCTGCTGAATTTCAGTAGCGAAGAGACTCATACAGTTCTTCAGAAGTTTGTAAAGAGATGCTTAAGTCTATGGAGTTTTCAATTTGGAGACGGAAGGCGCCCCAGTCTATAGTAGCAGTGATCAAGGATTCTGATTTTAGTTTAGGTAAAGGAGTGAGAGATAAGGTAAGTAGAATAGCTGTGGTCAGAGGAGAGATCTTGGAGTGGTGGATATTGAGTAGAGGATATGATCAAGGTTTTTTTAATATAATGAAATCTATAAGGTCAGGGCTGGTTTTCGTCAGTTGACCAGTATGTAGGAGTAGATATTGAAAAGGTGGAGGGAATTAAGTATTGAGTGCAGAGAGCAAGCACGGTAGTTAATCACTTTGGAGCCCACTGTAAGTGTTTCGCATTGTAGTCGCCACAGGTGAGTAATCTTGACCTAAGAGATCCAAAGAATTCTTCAGAAGCGTGGTTTTTTGGTCTCTGAGCTTCTGTCGCCGATCCATCCGTTTTTCCGAAGCTCTTATTACCAAAATTGGTCCTGTCACCATGGTTTCTTTGTCTCTGATCTTCTGTCGCCGATCCATCCGTTTTTCCGAAGCTCCTATCACCAATTAAATTGGACCTGTCACCGTGGTTTCGATCGATGGGTTTAACGATTTATTGGGAGGACAGTATACGGAGGCGATGGGACTTGACTTAAAGGATGCCGAAACGGCTGTGCTTTGTAGAAATCGGTGGCATTGTTAGGAATAACGTGGTGTGATAGGGTGTTGTGGATGTTGCTCTACCATCGGAGCGGTCAGTTCGGTATGCACTGTATATGTGTAACTGTTTGCGTTACGTCAGTCGAGTTTCTTTTATAAGTGCAATATGTGCACGTAGCCATGCAGGAGTGTCGTTAGTTCGTTAGTATGTGCTTGGACACCTTTTGCATTCCAAAGTAGTAAAGGGAGTCAATCGTAGCAGGGATCACGGAGAAGGAGACGGAATTTTGAGACGACTTAGTGACTAAGGAAATGAGGGGTGTAATGAAGGATTTTAATTCGGTAAAGAATGTGTTTAGGGCTGAGTGGAGATCTGTAAAGGTTAAAGGAGGGATGTGAGGGATAGCATGAAGAGGAGGTTGTAGATGGGGTATTCTTGCTCGTTAGGTTCGCTGTAGCGGATCAGGGCTTAGGTGGATCCAGGGAGGCTGTAGTTAGGGGGCTGCGAGTCGTGTTGATTGGAGGATTGAACGTTTTTCGTTGTTTTAGTTGTTGGTACACCACACAATCTTGTAGTTTCCTGGGTGATTTTGGTTGCAGAGAGCGACAGGAATTAAGCTTGCGTCGCAGCAATGTTGTATGCGATTTTAAATGCACTCGGCTATTACAAGTCACAACCGAAAAAATCCTGCTTAATATCGGACAGACAGTTATATAAGCTTAAAAAAACACAACTGTCAGGCATCGGATGACCATTCAGATTTTATACAAAATCCATCCTCCTTTGCTAATGTGGGTATTAGCTACATTAAGAAGCAGATAATCTAGCGGAAGAAGCGACTTGCTTAAGCGGTAGTTTTTCTGTGTTAGTGCGAAGGCGGCAGTTTTATGATAATGCAATAATAAGATTCAATAATTTATATTTTATGTTAGTGGTGAAATTGGACCAAAAATTGGCTTTCCCAGTCTTTCTGAGGTAGGATATCCCGTTATTGCTCTGTACGTCGAGGAAAAAATCTACCTGTAAGAACTGCTTCAAATTTCAGAATAATTTACCTCCCAGGCTCCTGACCAGTTTTACATTCGACGGAAGGGCCAGTGATTCCGAACAAAAAATCAACTTTCACCAGTCGATATCACAACTCACAAGTCCTTTTTACCCTGGCCGTCGCTGGTCCCCTGGTCAGGTTCAAGAAGCAAATTGTCCCAGACGAATTTCGAAAATCACGTATAACGAATCACAGTTGGCCAATAATCACCAGGGAAGGTCCGAATTGATTTTGTTGATGTTGTTTGACATTTTGTAAAAGGGGTTTGTCGTGATGGAACGTGGTCGAGGGGGAAAATTGAATTACATGATTAGAACAAACGTTGCGTTCGCAGAAATCTGTTGAAACGAAGAAAAAAATCGATTTTATTATTTTGGTAAAAAAAAAGAAAAAAAAATACAATCAAGAGTCATCAGGTTCGATTGAGCATCGAGCACTGAGCATATGAGATAAAAATCTAGTTTTTTTGAAAATGTTTCAAAACTTGATAGGTTCATTTGAAAAAAAAAATTATACTTAATTACCTATTGCTGAGACTTAAAAAAAGTATGGACTTAATTATTTTAAACCCTTAGGAAAATTAGGAGGAGTTTCGATTTAAACCTTATTTTTATTACTCTTCGTAGTAATAAGTAGAGACTACAATGGGTATTGCATTGAAATTTAAACACGCTGTATATTGAGTTTACTATGACATTGTATTTGCATTAGAAGGTTAGGAGAAAATAAAGGCAATAAAAATAAAAATTTATTAGGAGGTTAGGATGTAACAGGAGCACGGATTTCTGCCAAAAATGTTACATTATATTAGCATTATGAAGTTATGCATATTTACATTAGGAGATCAGGAGGGTATCATTTGAAAAAATAAAATTTTATACTCAATTACCTATTACTGAACTTAAAAAAGGTTTGGACTTACTTTTATAAACCCTTGAAGTTTGTTGTGTTAAGATCAAACTGGGCCTCGAAGAACGATTTTCAGTGTTCGAGATAGCAAGTTCTCGCATTTTTACCAAAACTACGGCATTAGAAGGTTAGAAGAAAATAAAGTGCTCAGCAAAATATATACGACGTTGTATGTGCATTAGGTGATAGCAGGACGTCGGACTTCTATCAAAATTATGACGTTATATGTGCTCGTATGTGTTAGGAGATAACAGGAGGTCGAATTCCTACCAAAATTATGACGTTGAATGTGCATTAGGAAGTTAGGAGATTACAGGAGGTCGCATTCCTACCAAAATTAAGACGTTGTATGTCCATTGGGAGGTTAGGAGATTACAGGAGGTCGGATTCCTACCAAAATTATGACGTTGTATGTGCTTGAATGTGGATTATTAGGAGGTTAGGAGATAACAGGAGCTCGTATTTCTGCCAAAATTATGACGTTATACACATTTCCATTAGGAGGTTAGGAGATAACAGGAGGTCAGATTCCTACCAAAATTATGACGTTGTATGTGCATTAGGAGGTTAGGAGATAACAGGAGGTCGGATTCCTACCAAAATTATGACGTTGTATGTGGATTATTAGGAGGTTAGGAGATAACAAGAGGTCGGATTCCACCAAAATTATGACGTTGTATGTGCTTTTATGTGGATTATTAGGAGGTTAGGAGATAATAGGAGCTCGGATTTCTGCCAAAAATATGACGTTATACACTTTCCATTAGGAGATATCTAGAGCTCGAAGATCTACCAAAAATAGGTAGGTCTCATTTGAAAAAATGAAATTGATACTCAATTATCCATTACTGACCACTTATTTTAGATCCTTAGGCAAAACAATGCGTTACTATTTAAACCCTTTATTCATTAACCTTTTTGGTCGAGAAAAGTGGGTGTCGTATTGAAATAGAGACACCCTGTGTATTGTTTTTCTTTTTCTTTTTTTTTGTTATTTTTTGTCTTTTGCTTGCAGGTTTGGTAAGTTTATTAAGGGTTTCTTCTTCGTGTTCCAGGGTAGTAAAAGCAGCGTTGGAGGGCATTCGGGTCCGCCTTATTACATGACGCACAGCTTCCCGCCCGGGGGTAGCGGAGGCGGCACTCTTCCCAGGGGCGGTTCTTCAGGCGGAGGCGGATCGTCTCTTCTCAGGCCGTACGCCTCCTCAGCGAAGCAGACATCCTCAGGTATTTGTGAGCATTGAAAACACTGCTTGAATCCCTAATAACCGTCCATCACCAGTTGATGGTTACATGTCTTCCCCAGAGAGGAGTTCGGTGACGCCTCGCGGGTACACGGGACAGGGGTTCACACCTGGGTCCGGGTACGAAGAGCCGTACTACGCCGGGTACACGCCGAGGACGGGAGCGATTACGCCGGTGATCGACGAGGAAGCCAGGTGAGCACTCGACGGCCGGCTTGGCCTCGAATTCATTATCATGTGTGACTTGTCTGTTTGTGTGTTTTGCACGCATCCAGCGACACGGAGGGAATGGAAGACGCATACGTCAGCGCGACCGGGGTCCCTGGGTACAAGGTAAGGGGCGGGGCTGGTACCAGCTTTCCGCCACCGGTAGTGCCCCAAGCTCTGGACCAGACTAGGTGAGAAGCCCCCAAGTGTCAAGGGGTACGAATTTTCAAATTTGTTTAAAAAAAGAAACAAAAGTAAAATTTTATATTCAAAACCATACTTTTTGTTTGTTTTGAAATTTAATAAGCGGTAGAAAATACCAGAACTCTTACAAGCCGAATATATCAGGAACCCTTAGGCAATATTAATAATATAGACGTCAAGAATCAAGACTTCAAGATTTGTCACATGGGATTAGTATTATGACGGTAGAATGACAATAAATAACAAGTTTCACGGGGTCATCAAGAAATCGAGAGCTGTTGCGTTATATATCCCTTAGAATTGAATTGGAAGGCAGAATGATCACGCGTAATTTATAATTTATCTGTCTTAAAATATATATCAACCTCGAATTGTGTATAAATAATTTCAGAAACATAAAAAAAAAGTCGAAATCTGGTGTGTTTTCAAATTAGAAATGTAATTAAAATATATAATATAATGCCAAATAATACTGACAGTAATTTTGTATTGGTTTGTTAATTTGGAAGTTTAGCTATTAGGAATTTAGGAGATAATAGGAGCTCAGATTTCTAACAAAATTATCACGTCATATTTGAATTTCAAAATTGGGAGATAACAGGAGCTCGGATTTCTAGCACAAATATGATGATATGTATTTGGATTAGGGGTTAGGAAAAATAGGAGCTCGGATTTCTACCAAAATTATGACGTTATATATTTGGATTTGGAAGTTAGGAGATAATAGGAGCTCGGATTTTTACTACAATTATGACGTTATATTTGGATTAGGAGGTTGGGAGATAATAGAAGCTCGGATTTCTACCAAAATTATGACGTTATATATTTGGATTTGGAAGTTAGGAGATAATAGGTGCTCGGATTTCTACCACAATTATGGCGTTATATTTGGGTTAGGGGGTTAGGAGATAACAGGAGCACGGATTTCTACCAAATTGGTCGCTTGGTATGTATTTAGATTCGAAGATTGGGCGATAACAAGAGATCGTATTTTTACCAAAAATTATGATGTTACTGTGTATATATTTGGATTCGAAGATTGGTAGATAACAAGAGCTCGGATTTTTACCAAAATGATGATATTATATTTGAATTAGGAGGATAGGAGATAACAAGAGCTCGGATTTCTACCAAAAAAGTCACTTTGTATGTATTTGGATTCGAAAATTGGGAGATAACAAGAGCTCGGATTTTTACCAAAATTATGATGTTATATTTGGATTAGGAGGTTAAGAGATAACAAGAGCTTGAATTTGTACAAAAATTATGATATATTCAGGGGGTCGGGAGATAATGAGAGCTCTGATTTGAAAATGTTTACCTTATATGTGCATTTGGAGGTTAAGGGAGCACAGATTTTGTAATTTTTTAAATTAATAATATTTCTCATCAATTTGAATTATAACTGATGTGAATATTGCTCATTCATTTCTTTATTTTTTAGACTGAGAGTGGAACACATGGAGAGACAGCTGGCCTCGCTAACAGGCCTGGTGCAGAAGGCCTTGAACCAACAGCAACCCTCCGGTTGTTCCACGCCACAACCCCAGGTCCAGCCCCAGACCCACATATACCACAGATCGTCATCAGGTAATTGATTATCAACTTTATAATTGTGCCTTCAGCTTTGCAAATTGATATACTGTGAAATATAACTCGGGTGCAGTCCGAGGCTTAAAAGTTGTTTTGAGAGCTCTTGATAGTAATTGCAATCTGTTATGAACTCGACACATTTTTTTATGGTTACGCTCCTGGTAGGGTTTGACATGAGTCTATAAGGAAGTATCAGGAGTTCAAAGTGTTCATTTTAACCTGTTAAGCTCATAGCCCTTTTCAATAAGTGATTGCCAGGAAGTACCAGGAGTTCGATACTTTCATTTTTACTAGTTAAACTCCTAGTATGCGTTTGTTTTGGTACAAATCGATAGGAGCTCAAAGCATATTCTCAGTTTATTGCAAACTTCGCTAGGTAATTTAATGATTTTAGCTCCTGCTATTTCATCATAGAATTCACTCAAACTCCCATTGAACAAATTGTATTAGGAGCTTGCCTTGTGAATAAATTTTACCTTTTGGTGCTATCCCATATTGTACATACATATAATAGGGCTGCACCTACTTACAAAATCTAAACAATTTACTATAACGGAAAAATGCACATTGTGACTAACAAAAAACTTTGTCTGTTTCCTGTTTTTGCCCTGCGTGTACTCACATCCCGCTGCCTAACAAAAAACTGCACCAATATAATAATAAAAAATATTAAAATCAAAAGTTACGGATGAATATGACAAACAATCTAGCTCAAGTTCAGCATCGTTACCAGGTAAGAGCTGCTTATTTTGGCCAGGTCGAAATTTCAGTCTGTCCAATTTTTTTTTCTCTTGCAAGAAAGGAACTAGTACTAAAAATAATTAGTTATTTCCAGAGATATATAAAAAAATTAGACGGCATTAAAATTTGACCAGTTTACAATATATAACTTATAACCCTGGCTATGTCTACACAAGTACTAACACGTGTTTTTTCTTCTTTTCCTCTTGTGCTTCTTCCCTTTTGTTTTTGCCAAACACGTAACACTCATGGCTGGCTCTTCCACAAACTCGCTCACATGCAAAACAAACAAACAAAAACATGCACACAAATAAGATGATACGTATCTAAGGAGTGACACGAAGCCTCCGAAATTGGGAAGAGGTAATTAAAAAAAGAACAAAAAAAACAAACAAAAAGGATCTACATATGGAAATTATTAATGTTCTTTTTTTCTTCTTTTTTTATGACATCTTTGTCTTCTCATTTTGCCGGTGAAGACAAATCGGTCTCGTTCGAAAAATCCGTCTCCTTCTCAGACGAACCACCCGACATGAATTCACCAAAACAGCACTCACCTCAGCATTCAGGTGAGCACTATAAATGTTAACAAATTATTTAAACATTTTTCGAAAAGGTGTTGGGTTTTTCAATGGTGGTGGTGCAGAATATAGAAGAAAGCCGGTTTTTATTCGTGCTCCTGTTACTTCAAGTCATTGGTTGAGTTTTTACATACAGTCGTATTGTTTGAGCTCCTGTTTGGATATCTTACTGGTGGAACTCCTATTACTATATTTGTTTATGCTCCTGTTTCTTTTTATTGGTTGAGCTCCTATGTGGAATCACATTTTTTGAGCTCCTGCTACTTCTTATTTGTTGAGCCCCTATATGGGATCATACAATTTGAGCTCTTGTTCATATTTTTTATTTGCTGATCTATTAATGAATTCCTTTGAGATTCTGCTTCAAATATCACTTTTGTCAAAATACTGATTCAGTACCTTAATTTTTTATTTACTTTTTTTCACTTTAAGTTGATTAAGCTTTAGCCTTAAAATAATTGTTGTTTAGCTTTGGTTACTGTGGTTGATTTAATCTTTGTAGAGTATCTGCTACAGTTGTCTTTTCTTTTGTTTTATTGTTAAAGCTCTTTTTTATCCGTACTGTTAATTGATTATTTACTTACTTATATAATATTTTTTCTTGTGTGTAAAACAAAATCTAAATCCTGGTCGCCACCTTTTCAAAACCTCAACGCTTATAAATGAAATTTTAATATTTTGTAAAAAGTTTTTTTTTATGTACTAACATTCTTGTCTATTTGTTTCTATTTTCCTTCTGGGGCTCGGATTGCTACTGACTAACATGAATTTCTATTTAAAAAAATCAAAGCCGATACAAAGCCGACAAAGCCCGCGATTAAGTCATCAACGTTGCCAAGGATGTCGTCGCAAGGTGAGTAGAAAAGCTTGTCCGACAGAAACTAGGGAGAAAGTGTTGTTGAAGTTTGTATATTTTTAAGTGTTTTAATTTTTGTTTTGGTTTTGTTTTTCAAGACCGAGACCGGCACAAACCCACGCCACCACCAAAGCCTGTTTCCCTCTCGCCCGGCCAGTATGAGAGTCGGAATGTTTACAGAGGTGGTTTAAACAACGCATAAAAATATGTATAAATAAATAAAACAATACAACAATATTTAATTTCAAATAGACCTACAGCTGACAGCAGAAATGTACAACCATCTTCGTGGACTGCAGCGTAAGGCGAAGGATCTGCGCCAAGAGGTGCGCAATCTACGTCGTATGTCGCAAACCCAGGCCCACACAGTCCGTGAGACGATCCGTGACGCTTTCCTCAAGATCCGCTCTGTCCTGGTGTCTGCAGGCGGTGAAGGACTATGGTCTCCAGCTGGTGATGAGACCCGCCTCAGGGTCAACAGGGAAGGAGACCTCTACAGGCAGCAGATGATCAGGCTCGAATCGGATTTGACGTAAGAACAATGTTTCAAAATAAAATAAAACTAAATTAAAATTTGATCCTGCGTAGTGAGCTTGAAGGCACCGTCGAAGAGCTGCGCGGCAATGTCATAAACAGGAAGACAAGGGTCAACATGTCAGATGTCGAAGCTATGGCATTGGTACTTAGTAAATCAAGGTAAAAACAATGAAAATCCTTCAGGCTTATTCTAATTTTTGATAATTAAAATCCTAGTCTGTTTCGTTGCAATGTATTTTAAAAATTTATTTTACGAAGTCTCTTACACTTTTTGACCCAGTGCCAGTTTGTTAAAATCATTCTATAACAAAATAGAATTGTGAATTGAGGGCAAATGTGCAAGACATCCCTAATATCAAACCTGCCCTTTCACAAACTTGACTAAATCTATCAAATTTAATCAATCAAAAAGACGTTTTTATTTCAAATTGTAGCAAAACTGTTGCTGAACTGAAGCTGAGATTCCCAAGCTTGCAAGACGCCATTAAGAGCTTGATATCCCAAGAGATGGAGAAGGTCGTCTCTGAGGAGAAGTGAGTTGAACCTTTGGTGTTTGTTGACAAAGTGAAAAATTTGGATTTTTTTTTAAGGTTCTTGAAGGAGGAACCTGAAAGGCTGGAGAGTGCTCTGAGGCGTTGCAAGAAACTGACAGGAACTCTTGTCACACTCAAAAGGTTAGATAAATTTATGAGAATTTTGTTGTTTTGTCATTTCACCCTCATTTTATCTGGCAGGCTGGCATCAGTACAAGAACAGCGCCTGCCGGACACCCGCCTGTCACCGCCCCCGGATGAAATGCCCCCTGTGACACCTACCTCCGGCAAGGTATGTATCATGTCTGAACCTCACAAAAAAATCGTAAACTGCCTTAAAATTATAGAAATAAATGACCTTTGTGCCATTATGCAAAATATTTTGATTTGAGGTGTGATCAAAAAAATTTGACTCAGCAATTCTTGCAAATAATACTGAACAGTTGTACATTTCTGCGTATATTTTGTAAAATGTCTCTATATTTCATGTTTATATCTGCAACTGGTTTAACACCATGATTAATTTTATACTGGACTGACATACAAGCTCTTTGTGTCAATCAGTCAGACGGTTCTTTGCTCTCGACTCATTTGAACTCCTAATGGGATTGATCATCCTGATACTTTAATTAATTTTCGTAGATGATTAATTGTACTAGTCAGTTCTTCAGTGTTTTTAACGTTTTTAAAAGTTTTAACATATTAAAAACGCAAGCTCCTGTCCCAATCATTTGCCAAGCTATTATTACTGAAAAATTGTTTGAACTCTTGTTACTTTTTATTGATTGCGCTTACATTGATACAACTTGTGGCATAATATTTACACCTGTGTTCCTGTTTAAAATATGTTTTAGCTACACGCGGTTGTAATATCTGGGCCATCCTGTTGAGGGTCGGAGCTCCTTGGTTGGGCTTCTCTTAGAAAAGTAATCACGGTTGGTCTCCTGTACCAATATTTTTAAGTAGTTATTCAGATATCGTGAGATGCGGTCGGGTGTGATGTAGGTTTCAGAAAAACATTTTCTTTATCGTACCAACGTTTCGATCTTTTATTGAGATCATCTTCAGGGCCTGGGATTTACAAACAATGTTTACATTTAACAAATACATTTAGGATGTGGATAAGTGAATTTATACAATGCAAAATATATTTTATATTCAAACAAAGTATTTCTACTCACTCAAAGTGTTTGTCTTCTGTGTAATTGTGCCATCCTTGTGTGTCGTGTTGAGAGAGGACGACACACAAGGATGGCACAATTACACAGAAGACAAACACTTTGAGTGAGTAGAAATACTTTGTTTGAATATAAAATATATTTTGCATTGTATAAATTCACTTATCCACATCCTAAATGTATTTGTTAAATGTAAACATTGTTTGTAAATCCCAGGCCCTGAAGATGATCTCAATAAAAGATCGAAACGTTGGCACGATAAAGAAAATGTTTTTCTGAAACCTACATCACACCTGACCGCATCTCACGATATCTGAATAACTATCGATTAACGGTCACTAATCTCTACACATTTTTAAGTAGGTTTTTCATTTACTAAGCTAATCAGAAGGTTCAGCTATTTATTCATTATTTTTAGGAACATTTTTGGCATCGTTCATGTAAAATTCATGCTATTTATTTTGGATTTTTTTTCATAATTGTACTGCCAAATCATAAAAATTATTGTTGCTTTAATGATCTGAGCACCTGAGAGCATCCTGTTAGCACATTCCAGTATTAAAGCTGCAATGTCCCACTGGTATTAGTCATGATACCCACCTCAGATACATATGTTGCTTAATGTATTCACAAATCAGAGCCAAATTTATTGATCACACCTTGTAAAAAAAAAAATTTAAACATATTTTTTTAACATGTTCTGTTTCAGCAAGGCCAGTGGTAAACCCTGCACGGGGTGTACCGCTGTGCCATTTTTTTGATTAAAATTGGAATTTTTTTCAAATTTATCCTGTAGAATTTGACAAAAAGCATTGGCCTCACTTTTGTTTTGTTTTTTCTTTGTAATTAACCTATTCCTCCCGAAACTATATCTATTTCTTTTTTATCCTATTTCTTTTCTTTTTCTTTTATTATATTTATTTTTATTTATTTACTTTTGGTTGAAAATTGCACAAGTCCTTGTTTTGGATTTTTCTTCTTTTGTTGATTTATAAATTTATAAATTCAGCCTGCTGGGAATTTGTGCAATTTTCAAAGGTATCACCTAATAAATAAAAAAGGTTTATTTATTTATTTTAATTATAATTTTGAGAAATGAGTGTGTGGCTGTGTGTGAGAGAATTGTAGAAGTGGAAAAAAAATAAACAAAACAATTCTATACCTCTAACCTCTAAATTTCAGGAGAGACGATCTTTTTTTTTTTTATCAAAAAGTTCATTTTTTTTACAAAGCTATCTTTTTCCAATTTTTCAAAATATTCAAAACACTATTTTGGCCATGAAAAAAATAAATACATGTGTTGAATTCTTTGAACAAATCCTGATCTTTGCCTTTTAATGGATGTTGAACCTCTATTTTTGTAAAGATATGAGCTTTTTTAAGAATTTAGAGCTTGTATTGTGGTATGTTTGAGTAATTATAGTTTGGTATCTTCATGATTTTAGTAAAATTTAAGATCTTTTATAACTCCATTCCAAGCGTCTGCCTAATAAGGATCATTTTTCTCCCTAAAAAACACCTATTTTATATCTTAAATTCTTCTACAGTTACATTCTGAGCTCATGATTTTTTAAACTGTGGTTCAAGAAAAATTCAAGTACTTCTAGTTAGTTTGAGCTAGTTTTTAACAATCGATCTTTGCCCTTCAATTTATGTTGAGCTTCTATTTTGGTAAAGTTTGAGGTTGTAATTTTTAGCTTTTATCTAAAATGGGTTGGAGTTCCTTTTGTTTTAAAGTTTAAGCGCAGTTACTATAAACTAATGAGATTTTGACTCCTGTTAAAGAAAAAAATTCGAGCGGTCTTATAGTTTGACATCTTTTGAGCTAAAATTAAAGTTTTAGGCCTTGTATAAGTAAAATCTGAACTTCTGTCAAAATATGGTCTTCCTCCATAATTTTTGACATTGAAATCATGCTCAGTAAGTGTACATTTACATCATCTGACATTGTCTTATTTTCCATGGCCAAAGCTTTTCACTATTTTATTTACACTAAGACTAAGACTTATTTTTTTACACACACAACAAGCATTGTTGACACATCCCTCTTCTCACGACCACATAATTTCCATCCATGCCTGTGAAAGGAATCCCCACAATTTTATTTTCAAAGTTTTTAATTTCTTTAAAGAAAGAAAACTATAAAAGAGTTCTTAGACTTTTGTTATTGTTATTGCCAACAACACACAGTTCGGTTGGAAATGGAGCTCGAACTTCAGGGACGCTGTCAACACTCACGAGTAATCTCAATAATCAACTTTTCCTTTTCTCTCGTTTTTTCATTATTTTTGTTTATTTATTTATTTATATTTTTTGCTGGATTGCTCTTGTTACAGAAAATTGATACTTAAAAAATGCATATTTACTACAATTATTATTATTATTATGCTTTCTATCAATGTTTTGTTTTTTTGACAAGAGTGAGCCAGCGTTTTCCTTTTCTTTATTTTTTAAATTAATTTTTAAAAAATTCTTTTTTCTGTTCGCTCGTGCATTTTTTGAAGTTTATATGGGTATGGAAAAAAACGCATTCAGCATAGATGTATTTTTATTTCATTTATTTTTTACCTCTTCCCCCCAGGAAAAAATTAAACAAGTAATTAATTTAAATATTATTTTTTTAATTTTTATTTATTTATTTATTTTTTGTTCTCTTTGCTCCCACCCAATGTTTTTTGTTGCGTTTTTTGAGAGTTTGCGCTTTAAAAAATGGAAAGCTATTTACTAAATGAAGAAGAAATGAAAGAAAAAATGGATAGAAAGTTTGTTACATTAAATGTGCATATATATTTTTTAATGTCCTTTAAGTGTTTTTTGTTTGTTTGTTTGTTTGTTGAATTTTTTTTGGAAGGGCATCAATAAATATGAGCTAGTTCCCACTCCTAATATATATATAAATAAAATAAAGTAGCAGATATATATTTAATTTATTTATTCTTTACAATTTCGTCACGACCATTAAGCACCAGATTTTTTAATTATTTATTTAATCTTTTTGAAACCTTGTGACACTTGGCACCAATTCACACACCCCCAAATAGTTGGAAAAATTTTTAAAAAAATCGCTCTCAGATTCAGCATGATTTAGATAAGCGTATGATTTTTTTAGTTTTATTTAATTTTTTAATAAAAGCATAACGGGAGGGGGAGATCACCACTAGAGTTTTAAAATTTAAAAAATTACAATTCTCCCACTCCCTAACCAAAGAGATTGATAGTTACAATTTACAAACAAAAAAGAATTTATATATTCTTTTTTTAAAATTTATTTTCAAAGATATTTTTTGTTTTAATCTCAATTGTAGTGGAAGGTTCAGATCAGTAATGAGTCCAAGTTTGGAACCTGTTGCGTTAAGAAATCAGGAAATTTCTGATTTTTCTGCTTACAAAACGATACCCGAAAACGATGTCACACTTGTCTACTATTGTGTGGGTTTTGGTGGTACCACATTCAGCAATTCTCTGATTCCCACCGATGCCTGCCAAGTGTGCAAAGGTGGCACTTTGAAGAAGTGACAAAAAAAATATTTAAAAAATGCAATTAAAATGCTACAATTAGTGACAAATTGGTGTACTTTAGTAGATATTTTAATTAATTATACTTTTTATCTGACCGTCGGCTGGGTTCAGATCTTGCTCATGGCACTAACTTTTTTATCTCAACTAAGACCTTAGAGTATAATTAATTAAAATAATTAATATAGTCAATTATTACTACTAAATACATTTATGATTTAGTAGATATGTTGATATTTGGGACAGACCATCCTTACCCCCAGTCTTCCTCCCAAATACCCCCACCACATTTCTGGCATCAAGTCTGATGGTGCGGTGTGAGAGACTGATGGATCATTTTAAATAGCATGGTTTTTACCTTCTAGCCCACGGGGATAGACAAAGGTCATGACTACCCCCAATTTCTTTGATATGTGACGTCACTGTTCTTTTCTTCTACCACTGTGGGTTTGAAAAGGGTTGTAACTATCTCCCTTTTTCCCTTTTTTTATATGTGATGTCACTGTTCTCTTTCTTCCACCACTATGGGTTTCACTAGCGTGTGACTACCCTTTTTTTAATCTGTGATATCACTGTTCTCCTTCTTCCACCATCATGGGTTTGACAAGGGTTGTGACTACCCCATAATTTTTTGATATGTGATGTGACTGTTTTTTTCTTCCACCATCACGGGGTTTGATGAGGGTTGTGACCACCTCACATTTTTTGATATATGCCATCACCGTTCTATTTCTTCTACCCTCATGGGCTCTCACGCTCCGTCACAACCGGGAGGGTAAGGATAATCTGACCCAAGTGTCAACATATCTGTGTCTTTTAGTGTGCTTTAGTGTCAGAGATCATGGCACAGTGTGATACACAATAATGGAAACACTGCATGAAGAATTCGATTGTTTATCTGTGGTGCACCCAAAAACCCAATTAGTACCTTTAGGATAACATTTTGTAAAGAATTCAATGGCATCTGTGTCGTATCAGTTTGTGATTTAGTTGCAATTTGGTGTCTAGCGCAGAAGGTACGGAGTCGGGTACTATATCGTGAAGCCTTCCCCAATGCATTATTCAAGGTGTTGTTTTGTTAATGAAATAAATCAAGATAATTCTGTACTTCTTTTCTTTTAAATACTTTTTTTTTAATGTTTAAAACTAATACTTCAGAGAGAATGCTTTTAAGCTACAGGGAAGGGAAGGTTAGGTCATTTAAAAAAAAAATATATAAAAAAAAATAACGCCCCATCCAAGCACTTGCCTGGCCCATAGCTCCCCAGTTCGTCCGTGCATGATTGTCATGCTCGAGCTCTCTTCCCTCCACTAACGCATTACTAGGTGCGGTGATGATGATCCCTTGACTAACTTTATTTGTCCCGATTTGGGAAAACTGCATTTGCGTTCTGTTTGTACAACTCAATTTTTGATTTAACTGGCTGATGTTTTTAAATTTTCCCCCCATCCACGTCTGACACCATTTGTTCCTGATTTTTAAATGAAAAACAAAGGCAAATAAACTTAGTCAGGGATTTGGCAACTGTTGTTCTTGACTTTTTTTAAGCACGGATGTTTTTTTTTTCTCTCCAATCTAATACTGTTTTACAGTGACCCATCTTTTCTTTAAAAAAATATAAAAAGTCAGAATCTTGCATGGATCTAGCATTTGCCTAAAGGGTTTATTGTTATTTATAATTATTTTTTCAATAGATGAATGGTGTCAGTTGTGATGGGTGTGAGTCCCTTTTACCCATTTTCTTTTTTCCTTTTTTCCCTCATTTTGATTTGTTGTGCTCCCTAGCCCTCACACAGATTTTCTTCCAACCCTTTTTTTTTTAATATTCTTTTTAAAAAAAATTTGTGTGTATTTCATAGAATCAAATTAAAATTAAAACAAAAATACAAGCAAGAAGACCCTTTCGATATTAAAGTTTTTAAGAAAACTTCTTAAAAGTTTTTAAGAGTAAAAAAAGGGATTTTCAGCATATCGAAAGGATTTTCTTTAAAAAAAAAAAAGAAAGAAAAGAAGACAAAGACAAAAACTGATCGTAATTTGACAAATACAGCAATCAGTGTCCGTTTGAGCTTAGTTCCTGTGGCTCCGGGGCTGGATTTGGCTGAAAGCTTAGCCCTGCAGTAAGTAGATTTTTTAAAACCAAAACAATTCAATTATTAAAAAATAAAATTACAGACAGAAAAAGATCGTATGTTTAATAAACAGCATGGTAAAATGAACGAGAGATTCTTTAAACGAAAACAAAAGAGGCAAGAATAATCTCATTTCATCTCACCAACCCTTCCACCCATCTGGCCAAACATCCCGCCCACCAATGTTGAATGTTGACAGGACTGTTTTCTTTTTAAACTAAAAGGGCTCCTGATTGAAAAAATAAAACAAACATATTATCTATACAATAAATAAACATTTTATGTTGGTCTAATTTTCTCTCTCTCTCTCTCTCTCTCTCTCTCTCTTTCTTTCTTTCTGTCACTCTCTCTTTCTCTTTATCTCTCTCTCTCTCTCTATCTATCTATCTATCATATCTCTCTCAATCACACATGAAAACACACACACATACATACACATACCCCATCACTGCCTTTGAAAATCCATTGAGACTGATTGTGGAGCATGACTGCATGGAGAAAAAAAACACTCCTTTCTCGAAATTTACAGTGGCCAGGTCGAGACTGGAGGCGGAAAACGGGGCCCATACGGTCTCGCCCTGCTCCACTGTTTCATTCTGATATAAGCTGTGTACTCTAATAATTTCTTATTTATTTATTTTTAATTTTTTTTTAAATTTTATTTTAAGTATTTAAATTTTTTTAACAGTTTGTGCATGTGTTTGTGCCTTGTTTAGTTCGTCCAAGTCGGCGCCAGCACTGAGGACTAAAAAAATTAATTAAAAAACCGTAATATAGCACTAGAAAAACACAAATTGCAAAAAAAACCTCTTGCAACTGCACCCCAAAAAAACAAACAAAAAAAATCATAAAATACTTGCATCCCGACCTGCATTTTATTAGTGAGTTGAATTTTATTTTATTTTGACGTTTCTGTAATTAATTTGTGTATAATTTTGTTTAACAATTTTTTGTTTTTACACTTAATTTTAATTTCTATTGATTTGACTTTTAATTAATTTGATAATTGTATATTAATAGGCATGCAAATGCACGTTGTAAATTGTAATTTAACGCTAATATAACGCTGGAATGGTTGTCCGCTGCATTCTTCGGCCCTGAAACATTGAGAACATGATTGAGCTCTTGTTTAAAAAGATTGAGTCCATGGGCATCTAGCTCCGGTGACACATCCTGATAAAAAGTGTTTTAACACCTGCGGTCTGGCATTCTCATAGAAGAGCTCCTGCTGGCAAGTAGCCTGATAAAAGTAAGCTACCAAGCACCTTTTAGCCTCAGTTCATCTGAGGGATATCGAACTCCTGATGACCTGGCATAAAACTTACCAGCATTGGAGGTTTCTAATATTTATGCTTCTGATCGACAGATATACAATCATGAAGCTCCTGTATATCCCCTAAAGTACTCCTGGCTTATATACCAAGCTCCTGTTCTCTACTCCTGTTTTTAATACTATGCTCCTGATAGGCCGAAGATTTCTCGCATCCATAAAGCCCTAGTTATCTACTTGTCCTTTGAACCTCACTTTTGAGTTTACAAGCTCTCTAACACCTTGTTGGATTAAATTAAACTTAAATATGTCCTTACAAATATCAAGCTCTTTTTGTCTAGGTTTCCTACTACTTACAATCCTGGTCGGTCCAAGATCTTTTAAAAGTACCGGCTCTGTTTACATATTGCTACTCCGGTTTACTGCATGTCCTGTTAAATGGACTTATGCTTCACATACCCAGTTCCTGTTCTCTACTCTTGTTTCCAAAATTATGCTCCTGATCAGCCCAAGATGTTTTACAATCATCAGCTCTGTATACTTCTTGTTCTCTTACTTCTTTCTTTGTTTTATTTCATTGAGCTCCAGTTTACCACATGTTATAAGCTGTTTCCCTTACGCCTTATATGCCTCCTATCTCGTAAATATCAAGATCAGGAGCTTTCGCGATTTGTAATAATAACGATAAGCGTATGGTTTGCAAACGTTTAATATCTTGTGGTTATAACATGTGAATGCAGCAGACAATTTTTCGGCTTGTCTAATTATAAATATATTCAAAAAGTAGAACGCATTTTATATTAAGTCATATCATAGTGTAATGCGTTCTGCTTTGAAGGAAATGATTTGATCAGATTGTATGAGTTGTCGGCTGTGGACAGGAGACCTGCGGAGGAGAGGAGGAGGAGCAGTTCTGCGGAGAGAGCAGCGGAGGGCCAGCATCTCGTCCGGAGAACCCACTCGACGCTCTGCTAGACGAGCTGCAGTCATTTTCGAAAGGGGGCACAGCACCGCAGCCGGGTACCGGCTCCCTGAGGCGGCTTCACTCCTACCCGTCCGACCAGAAGGCCCTGCCTCCGGCTCCACCGCCGCGCACCTCTTCCAAGTCGCCGTCCGAGAGCTCATCGACCGAGAGCGTCGTGCCCGTCTCGCGTCAGCAACTGCTAGAGCAGAAACATCAGGAGCTCCTCCGGAAGCAGCGTGCCCTCCAGGAGCAGTACACGCGGCTCCAGTCGCTCCAGCGGGCCCCGCCCCCAGACCTCCTACAGCTCAAGAAGACCGGCTCAGAGAGCAACCTCCTCGGGAAAATGGGCCTCACACTCGCCCCGACTGGCTCCCTTTCGCATCTGGCGGCCACTACCTCGTCTGGAAGCCTCACCACCAACACGACGACGACCTCAAAAATATACGAAACGGACATACTTTGACTTATATTTGCTCAAATAGTCTACTAGCTACTTTTAAAGAAAAAATTAATTACACAATTAACATATTCACCCAACCCACCCTCAAACTCGAAAGTTTGAACCCATACAATCCGTTAAACTATATATATAGTTTATGTATACATACATGAATAGTACTGTATGTATGTATGTATATATATTATAAGCAAAAGTAATTAATTTTAAAGAGTAAGTCTTCTCAGCCCCTGTCAATTATTTATTAAACTGAGAAATAAAAATTAGCAGAAATTTCTTTCTACTCTTGACTTATTAAAATTTATTATATTATGACAACAATAGGGCGTTCCATGTTTCGATGGACGGGCGGTAACACAATGGTTATTTGCAGGGAATTACCCTCTACCCACCACAACTGGATACGACGAATTCAAAACGAACTGATTTTCCATTTGTATAAGTACAGTGAACCACATGGTATAATTTTTCATAGAACTAGTCTTTCCTTTTCTATTAGCACTTTCCTTATACTTCTTAAATATGAAGGATCAGGAGCTTTTTTTGATGTGGAACTGCCTCCTATCATTTAGCTAATTGCAGTGTGCTCCTGGTACATTGGTTGTTTCTGTTCTGACCTCCTTGTTGAATTTTTAATCATTTTGCATGGGGGGTAATTTCACGTTCAACACATACCTAACGTCTGCCCGACATGAGCTTTCGTCCTTATTGCTTAATGCACGTCTGGAATAATTTAAAAAAAAATTGAATCCCTGAAGTGGCCATGTTTAGCTATCATGTACACTGTTATATTAAGGGATATTTACTATAATAATAAAGTAATTTATAAGGGATGATAATTGTAAGGCAAATATATATACATATGTGTATATAACAGAGAAACAAATTATATATATGTAAGTATACACGCAGTGGTGTTTACACTTTTTTTTTTAATTGTATTATTTATATTTAGCGCTTGAATTAGTCTCGGAAGTGCAGCGAATTCAGAGGGCCAAACGCAACTAGGTCGTTCAATTGACTTTGATTTATAGATTTATAAAAAAAAACCAAAACTAAAAAAATGTCTAATAATAATCAACCTAGTTTACGCTGCAATAATGACATCAATTGTGTGGGTTTTTTAAAATTAGCTGTATTAGTTTTTTAGTTTGTGTTCAATTAACACTGACTCATTATCTTTGCAAAGCCTGAAAGAGAGTACTATGAAATAAACAAAAGAGAAAAACGAAATAAATATATATTATTATAACTTATCTATATTATTTATACAAGATATAAATTGTAACTACTATTGTAATGGGTTTATCGTAATACTTAAAAAATGCATATGTAACTATATATAAAATAAAAATTGACATGGTGAATTTATGATTAACGATATTGTATGGATACTGAATGGAAAATAAAGAGAATATAAGCAAGCAATTCAACCTGTTATTTATTTTTTTATTTCCGTGTGTTCCAAACCATTTCATATTTTGTATGACCAGAAATGCCTACAATTGTAAAAAGATTTTTGTGTTGGTTTTTGTTTTTAAACAACTTTGACATTTGATGTCTTTTTCAATGTAAATCAAAGAATTGGACCTATTTAAAGAAGAATTAAGCTAGTAAAGCCTGTAATTTTTAAAATAAAGGCAAAGAACAAAAACATAATAATAATAATTTGTTTCCGTATAAAACGACCTGCAGGGTTGTTAGAACTAAGCGTAAAACCCTTAATTTTGGAAATAAAGGAGAAAAAACATTTTTTTTAAATTGTCTTTTTCAATGTAAATTGATTGTGGGGTTCAGACACACATTCCAATATCCTCACCATTTGAGAGACCTAATGCAACCATTTGAAGAAAAATTAAGCTAGTAAAACCCTTAATTTTTAAGATATATGCCAAGAACCGAAAAAAATTAATGTCTGTTTCGGTGTAAAACGACCTGCAGCGTTGTTCAGAAGAATTAAGCTCGTAAAACCCTTAATTTTGGAAATAAAGGTGAAAAAACGAAATTTTTTTCAATTGTAAACTGACTATGGGGTTCAGTCACACATTCCAATATCCTCACCATTTGAAGAAAAATTAAGTTAGTAAAACCCTTAATTTTTAAGATATATGCCAATAACCGAAAAAATTAATGTCTGTTTCGGTGTAAAACAACCTGCAGGGTTGTTTAGAAAAATTAAGCTTGTAAAGCTCTTAATAACGAAAATAGATACGAACACATGAAAAAAAATGTATTATCTTTTTTGATGTAAAACGACCTAATGCGACCATTTGAAGAAGAATTAAGCTAGTAAAGCCTTTAATTTTGTTAACATTTGTAGCAAGACATTAAGATGAAGTTTTGGGAATTGATGTGGGAAGTGTATCTGGATATTCTCCCATTTCTTTAACAAAAAGTAATGTTTTTATGTATAATATTTTTCAAAATTTGGTATCAATTAATGTTCAAAATTACAATAAATAAAACAATATCAATCGCAATAAAATCAATTAATATTACAGAAATAAAAACTATCTGGTTGGGAAAACACATTTTTGTAACTTATAATTTTTTCTAAGTTAACTGGAAATCTGTAATAGGTAAGACTGACAATAGACCTAAAGTGATCTACAAAATTCAACAGGGAGAGGGTTTTCCTGTTCTCGACATCAACAGGGTCGATGTATGCCAGCCATCTCAACTTCTCACCAAACAGGAGGCTGAGGAACGTACCACACAGGTGTGCCTGTGAGGCAGAGCTACAGAGTTGAGTGGGCTATGGGCCCTCATCAATCCACATAAGTAGATGTACATCCTTTCGACGTGGAGAATATTATTACCATTATTATTGCTATAGCAATGAAATGATGTTGTGGGAATCGATGTGAGCAGTAATGTTGGATTCTCTCTGTCTTTGTGGCCATGAAATTGATCGGTTTTGCATAACATTTTTCTAAGTTTGATATTTTTATTAATTAAATTTCAAAAAAAAAAATAAAAATAAAATAAAAACTTTACATATTTGGGAAAACACATATTTTTGTAAGTCCTAACCATTAGTAAGAGCAAAGTGGTTTCAAGCAGATTTCTGGATCACACAAATAACTTGACAACATTCAATAAAATCTAAGAAAAATAAGTATGTAAATAGGTCAAAATAAATACAAAAACGTTTCAAAACTAAGTAAATATCATCAAAAGACTAAAAAATACTTCATAAAAGTATGTTTTTTCCTGTTCGATTTTGAACTACTGTTTGAGTCGAGAGTTGTGAGTTAGCAAACGAACCCTTTCGAATAGTTCATCTGCATCTCTTGTTTCAATTTTGTTAAACATCGGTCAAAATATCTAGAAAAACTTTCTAAAAACTAAGGAAATATCAAAAGTCTAAAAAACGTCGCAAAAGTGTTTTTTCCGGTTTGTCGATTTTGAACTACCGGTAGAGTCGAGAGTTGCGACTTAGCACACAAAGCCTATCGACTATTTCATCTTGATCTCTTGTATCAATATTGGTAAAAATTGGACAAAATATCTAGAAAAACTTTCTAAAACTAAGGAAATATCAAAAGTCTAAAAAAACTTCGGAAAAGTATGTTTTTCCCGGTTTTTCGATTTTGAACTACCGTTTGAGTCGAGAGTTGCGAGTTAGCAAACGAACCCTTTCAAATAGTTCATCTGCATCTCTTGTTTCAATCTTGTTAAACATCGGTCAAAATATCTAGAAAAACTTTCTGAAACTATGGAAATATCAAAAGTCTAAAAAACTTCGTAAAAATATGTTTTTTTTCGGTTTTTCGATTTTGAACTACTGGTTGAGTCGAGAGTTGCAAGTTAGCGCACGAAGCCTATCGACTATTTCATCTTGATCTCTTGTATCAATATTGGTAAAAATAGGTCAAAATATATAGAAAAACTTTCTAAAACTAAGGAAATATCGAAAGTATAAAAAAAAACTTCGGAAAAGTATTTTTTTTATACTGTTTTTCGATTTTGAACTACCAATTGAGTCAGACCAGGAGGCCATGAAACTGTTTGTATTGAATAACGTTCACTACAAAAAACGAAAACTTTATCTAGTTGGGAAAACACAAACTTTTGTAAGTTCTAACTTTTCTAACCAGGTGCTGTAATTGGTAATAGGTTTTATTTTCGGAACACCACCTGTATTAAAATTTGCAGATAGTATTAAACTGAGAGAGTTATATTGGCTGCTGGGGCAATAATAAAATATTAAAACTAACATGCTCACTAACCTGACTGCCAGCAGAGAGAGTTGATTTACCATTTGTAAATCCCTCCTGGAAAAATAGAAAAGTAAGTTTAAATGAGAGAATAGTTGACAATGTACATAAATAGATGTTATATAAATGAAATTTACCCTCTGAAGGCAACAATCCTCGCTTTAAAACTGCTACGATGAACCAGCTAACTACACACTGATCAACACTCACGAAACAACTTAACGCACTGTTTAAATAGCACTTTGTGAAATTGTAAAACAATGATGTAAAAATGGAAACACACCCTTGAAAAAACAAAACTGAAATGTATAAAGCATACAATAAATTAAATGTAATTTGCACACAAAACTTATTTACAAGATCATACAAAAAATTGTATTAATTGTAACAGTGATCTACAAATTTCAACAGAGGGATGGGTCAATCTATGCCTGCCATCAAAGCTTTTTGCAACCCAGGAGGCCACAAAACCGTTTGTATTAAATAAAGTTCGCTACAAAAAATGAAACTTTATCTAGTTGGGAAAGCCCAAACTTTTGTAAATTCTAACCCTTCTAAGCAGGTTCTGTAATAGGTAATAGGTTTTATTTTTGGAACACTACCTGTATTAAAATTTGCAGGTAGTACAGATAGTATTAAACCGACAGGATTATATTGACTGCTGGGGCAATAATAAAATATTAATTCTAACATGCTCACTAACCTGACTGCCAGCAGAGAGAGTTGATTTACCATTTGTAAATCCCTCCTGTACAAAGAAAAAATGAAGATTAAATGAGAGAATATTAAACAACCTACAATAAATAGATGTTACATAAATGAAATTTACCCTTTGAAGGCAACAATCCTTTCCTTGAAACAGCTACAATGAACCAGCTAACCACACTCTGTTAAACACTCACGAAACAACTTAACGCACTGTTTAAATAGCACTTTGTGAAAATGAAGGAAAAACATACAAACACGGCACAACACCATCTAGAACAGAAAAACACAATAAATGTACACAACAATAAATGAAATATAATGTACAATGACAATCAGATTACAGAAAAATTGTATTAAATAATAACTATAACATACAAAAAGGGCAGAATATGATTTCTTGTACTAATACTAAATAGAATCTCCATATAATTTTGTAAAATCTTAGGTAAGTTTTGTTTGAACTTTCCACAGGAATCAACTTTTGGTCAACCATAAAATGTACATTTTTAACAGCATTGTTACAATAGCAAAGGCTACAAAACATTCAATATAGTACATGTTATTATTATAAAAAGAACTTATTTCAAAATGAAATAAAATAACTTTGACTTAATATTGTCAAATTCTTTTGTTGTGGGTGCAAAAGTCTGTTTAAATTATCATTCAATTATCAGCTCCAATTATCATTGTTTGTGTTAATAATCAGTGAAATAATTTGTTCAAATTCAAAATATTGAAGGGAACTGAGAATTCTTTTTTAAATCAGACTAGTTAAAAGATATGCTATAGTAAAAATGGGAAAGGGAAGATCTGGGGTAAACTTTTCATGCCAGACATAGCAGAGAATCGGTCAAGCCTGTTTGGCCTATTCTTAGAAACGTGAGTACGACACCTCTTCACCTATTCAGATCATCCTAGGGCCCCCTCCCCAGCTAATCAATGCTCTATTTCAATTTAATCATCTTTTAACACATTTTCAGAGTCTGGGGACAATTCTGAAAATTAGTTTTTCTTCCATTAATTCTAAATGTTACTCTGTACTTTGTGATTTCTAAATTTTTATGCCTTACATATGAAAAAGAATATCTGTCTGTCAACCTCCGATGGCCTATTCTTAGTCGAGTGAGAATATTCACTCTTTGCCTATTTATATCTGACAACTGAGCTCTTGGTACATTTGAGCTTCTGTGCCGTTCTAGCCCTCCAATTTTTTAACACGGCAACTGGGGGACAGATTGTGATCATCAGTTCTGAAAATTGGGATGTCCCTGCCTTAATAATAGTGAGTAAACACAGTATTATTAAATCAATCAATAAATTAGAACAGCCGTAAACACAAATTTTATTTTTTACGGATTAAAAAATAAAATTAGTGTAGTAATTATGTTTAGCAGCCATAATTGACTGTTATGACCCATGACTTTCGGTTCAATACACCACTACTCTAACTACTTGAGCTGTTGTGACTTCGCGAGTCAATAGCTCAAGTGGTTAGGTAGCAGCATATTGA